TGATCCTAGCTGAAATTGAAGGAATTTTCTGTGTGAAGGATGTATGGAAATATGGAAGCATGTGTCTTTGAGATCTATGACAGTGAACCAGTTGTTTTGTGGAGTAAAGGGAGAACTGATTTGAGGGTAACCATACAGAATTTTGTGGAATTGATGTATTTGTTTAACTTTCATAGGTCTAAGATAGGGTGAAGATCCCCATCCTTTTTGGGTATGGTGAAACAGCGAGAGAAAAACCCTTTGTTGTGTTGTGAGACAGCTTGTATGGCGTCTTTGGGGAGTAAATTTCTTATTTCCTCTTGTAGGGTTGAAGATGGTAGTGATGACGTGTGTTGCTGGTGGAAGTTGGAAGAAATGGATGCGGCAGCCATCGTGGATGATGGACAGTACCCAGGCATCTGTAGTGATGGATTCCCAGATAGGTAGGTGTTTTCAGAAGACAGGATGGGTGGAGTGGTGTGGGATCTCGGTCATGGGAGCGTCAAACGTGATGTTTGGACTTGCGGTCATTGCACCTAGTAATGAGTTGTTGGCAGGGTTTATTTCTTTGATTTCTGAAACAGGGTGTATAAGATGTTTGTTTTGGAGGATCATGTTGGAATTTTTGAAATGAGTTGTACTGTTGTCTCCATTGATTTTGTTGGGGGCGTTGTTGGTAAGATGGATAAACTCCCCAACGTCTAGCTGCTGATCTTTTCTTTTGCACAATTTCCAAAATATAATCAGTTTCAGCATTAAAGAGGCCTGCCCCATCAAATGGAAGGTCTTCGATATGTGTGCGGGCATCCTAGCCAGGCCAGCTGCCCTTAGCCAAGAGAAACGTCATAAGGCTACTGAAGTGGCCATTGACTTTCCTGTGGTGTCTACCGTGTGCCTAGCAGAAAGCATATGTTGTTCGGCAACAGAAATACCTCATTGAAAGGTTTGGGCGAGTACTTTTTTGTCAGAAATACCTCGTTGAAAGGTTTGAGCGAGTACTTTTTTGTCCTCTGGTAAAGATTCAACAAAGGTTGACATATTGACCCAAAGGAAACGTTGACATGCCCCCATGGCTCCCTGGTAGTTAGCGACTGGTGAACACTGCTGATGAGTAAAGCCATCTTCCCATTGAGTCAATTCTTCTACTGTCTTTATTCGGTGGTATGAGGGTTTGTCGATGTTGAGATCTGGATTGTGAGGCTTCGACAAAAATAGAGTTTGGAGATGGTTGTTTTTGAAGAGATAGAACTCCAGGATCTTGAACTCTGTAGAGGTTATCGATTCATTTAGACATGGTATTGGAAGAGGCTGGTTTTGTCCAGGATCATTAAGCGCTGCTGAGTAGAGACGGAAGCATTGAGATGTGTACTGGAGTAGTTGTATCTTTACAGAGATTGGGTTGTATAGATGATTGGCCGGTTCTGTCGAAGGACGTGGATTTCGAGATTGAGAGACTTAGCCATACGGATCATAAGTTGGGCATACGTTTGGAAGTCTTCTGCCAGTCATGGTGGGTGGGCATCGATAAGGTTGGATTTCAGTGAGGTAAGTAATACTGACAGTGTCCGAGGTCTGGATCAGTGATCGGAATAATCGGGATCGCGTTGGGAGTTAACAGATTGTCGATCGACTTTGGTGTCGATAGGTTGAGTGTCATTGTATTGATGTTTGTGGCTCAATGTTCATTGAGGTGGCATGTCCATGGGCATTTGTCGGTGTCGAGGATTTTCAATATCGAGAGATGTCATCCGAGTATCCATGGACGTCGTTTGAGATGGTTGAACGTCGGTGTCGAACTCAAGGTCATAGTGATGTCGAGTTCGATGGCTTGGTTCTATCGGGTGGCAGAAATCGTGAGTTGATAGAGGGACAGAACCAGTGTTGATGGACCAGGATGGATATTGAGGATCGTCGATATCAGAGCCTGTGTCTCGGTGATGTCGAAATGGAGGTTGTTGATGAGCTGGTAAAGCAGTGGAATATATAGATGCTGGAGATGCCGAGCAAGAGGAATGATTTCTCTCGTCTGGAATAGCGGGAAAGTATCAGGAGGCTGGAACTGTAAAAACCTTGCGTGTAGAAGAAAATTGCTTGATGGTCTTGGGTCTTTTAGGTGCCAGGTAGGGAGCAGGCTGGAGTTGATGTGGGTCATGGTGATATGGCTGCTTCGACACTGATGGCTGTCGAGATCGAGACCCACCATGAGAAGGTATGGACAAGCTGGATAGAACAACTGGTTGAATGGCAGTTGCGTTTTGTCCGGTCGAGCACTGGTTGGAGCAAATGGCAATCGGGTGAGAGTGCTGAGCCATGCGTGGTGAAATAGCTCCAGGGACTGTTGGGGCCGAAGTCTCTGAGGAGGTCGTGGTTGTTTAGTCGTGTCCGACTTTGTGACCAGAGCACACCAGGCCCTCCTATCTTCCACTGCCTCCCGGAGTTGTGTCAATTTCATGTTGGTTGCTTCGCCTGTTGAGATCAGTTCAACTGACTGCTCAGTGAAAGTGCTACTGTGAACTGATAATCTATCTAGTCCCCAAAGAAGCATGAAAGGTTTCATTAGCTTTCAAAGAAATCCAATATATACGGTTAAAACAGGGCTGCCATATTTCAGGTCTCTAAATCTGGGCAGCACAATCTACATATCATGCAATTTAATTTACATATTATGCAAATTAACATAGTTAATATGCAAATTGCACTGTTTGCCTAGCTCTTACATTTCAGACTTGCCTCTATTTATACAGGGAGCACCAATATGAAAGTCAGTACAGAGTACCAGTCACAACACTGAGTTTGAAACTGGGGGACCGAGCTCAGATTTGCAGCCAGGAAGCCTTCTGTGTGATCTCTCTCCAGTCACTGCCTCTCATCCACCCACCCCAAAAACAGGTTCTGTTTTGCTTCTCTGCCATGGGCTGATGTAGTGAACAGGGTTTCTAATAAATACAAAGACGATGATATTAGTCTCCTTCCCACATTTACTGCAGAGTAAGATCATTTAACAAAGCAGAATGCATGCCCGAGTACACCATGTCCCTCAGAAAAATAAATCTGGCATTGTTAGTTCTTCCCCAAGGATTTTGCTTTTCATTACAGGTTGACATGATTTCTCAAATCCAAAATGGACAGTAAACATCTACCTCAATGAACTCCGGTCTGTCTATTCTTCTTGCCTTCTCCAAATTCCACCTTTTCTAGCACCCAGCTCAGCAACCAGAAGCATATGAAAGATAAGGTGAAATTTGGGTTTTGTGTTGCATCACTCCCCAGTCTCCTGCTTCCTGTGGCTTCATTGCTTTCTATACATTGTGTTTACAAGCAACTTTGCAAAACCATTTTCAACTAAGGATGGATGTTGCCCATGGGAACTGATAGGATGTAACCTTTTTCACAACAGAGTGTGTGTGTGCTCACCCACCTTGCCTCCTATACATAGCCCCTTTCTCTGCTATTGTTGCATCATCTCTAGGCTCCGTCTTTCAAACTCTCTCTCTCTCTCTCCTTTGTCAGCAAGGTGATGTCTCTGCTTTTTAAGATGCTGTCAAGCTTTGTCATTGCTTTCCTCCCAAGAAGCAGGCATCTTTTAAATTCGTGGCTGCTGTCACCAGTAACAGTAAAATCTGTTGTGGGAGTCTGCTGACCATTACAGCTGACCTCATTACAAGGAGGTCATGTAGGCAGAATAATGCATCAGCCGAATGCCTAGCTCTTTAATACAGTTAATCTATGTATGTGTCAGTTGTTGCTAGGCAGAACATACTTGATGCCTCATTGGTTGTAATGTGATTCCTGTGTAACCTGAGTTCTGAATAACGGGAGGTGCCTCTGTGTATTCTTGCCACCTCTTCTTGATGTCTTCTGCTTCTGTTAGGTCCCTCCCATTTTTGTCCTTTATCATGTCCATCTTTGCACAAAATGTTCCTCTCATATCTCCAATTTTCTTGAACAGATCTCTGGTTTTTCCTTTTCTGTTATTTTCCTCTATTTCTTTGCATTGTTCATTTAAGAAGGCCCTCTTGTCTCTCCTTGCTATTCTTTGGAAGTCTCCTTGCTATTCTTTGGAAGTCTTTGGACTATCAGATGTTACGAAATAAGGTATGGTCTCTAGTTGCTGTTCGGAGCTGACCCTGTCAGGTGAAGCAACTACGGAAGGGTTGCTCAAAAGAACAGAGTGTTGAGGACTGGGAGGAGCATCGATTGACTCTGTCATCCCATTCCAGTGATTGGGAGCAGGGTTGATGAGAGGGGATTCCGTCATCGTCAGAAGGGGAACCAATAGAGACTGATTCGGGGATTTGTTGAAGCTGCTGAGAAATGACTGCAGCTTTAGATTTATGCTGCTTAGGTCTTTCAGGCAGAGAAGGCTCCAGAACCGAAGAACCTTCGGTGGACATTTGATGTTTAGTGGAGGGCTTCGATATCGAGGATTTCAGTATTGTTTCAATTTCTGGGTTTTTGAAGTTTTAGACCAAGTGGACGGAGTGTCAGAGTGGGAAGGTGTGGTCGATGGACATTGTTTTGAGGCTTCAGAAAGAGCCTTCTCCATTGCTTTGGTTTGTGAGGTGGTCTTACAAGGAGGTTGGAACATTTTGGTTGGTTGAAGGGATTGTTCCCAAATGCAGAGTTTTAATCTGGATAAGTGAGAACGGAGGACTCCGCACCTGAAGTTCTTACAATGCTTGCAGGAGGACGTCTGGTGTGCCTCTCCCAAGCAAAAAAGACACTTGGCCTGGCTGTCAGAGAGTGGTATTTTGTTATCACAGACCACACAGTATTTAAACAGGCCCAAAGGGGCCAAAAATAGGAAAAAATAATTTGAGGAGAAAAATGATGATTGGGGGGGGGGGTCTGCTGCAGCCAGCTGTCGAGCGAAATAGAAAAGAAAAAAATATCTGATGATAAAAAAAGTTTAAAGGAAAAAAGATTGATAACAGGAAGGAATCAATAATAAACTCTCTCTTTTACTCACAGAAGCAGAACTATGAGGCTCTCAACACCGTGGTTAAAAGAAACTGAAAGGGGAGCCCTGGCGCCAAGGTACTTATATGAGGGGGGAGGGGCATTATTCTAATGTGTTTTTTGCTACCGCAGAAACTTTAGAACTTTCCAATTAATCTCTGCACAGGCGCGGATTACCCAGGGCGTGATTCACAGATACTACGAAGAACCATATATTTAATGCCTTTCCCACACCCACTTTTTTCAGTCCATGAGAAATCTTTCTCCCCCTGTAGAAGATAAACCTAATAACTTAAAAACCACACTATAGTTTCTGGAAGATTGTATTTTCAGTCACAAAATACAGTTCTTCTAGGATACTGTTCATACCACTGCAAAAAAAACTATATATACGCACCAGGTGGTGGACTGAGATGCAAGCCATTCTTTAGACTCCATTGAACTGGGAAAATACCAGCACTGTTGATGTGACAGACGTAAGACCTGCTTGTGGAACATTCTGGTCGCAAATCATCTATTTCTATCATGAAATATTTATCATTGAACACCTGAAAGAAAACAGAAGTGTATATCCTCAGCAAAATTGCATTTTACCAGAAAATCAGTTTCCTGTGTAAAAGCTGCTAATGTGCTATGTTATGTGTACTCAAGCTACTTGGATTCTGTCCTGGTGGTGACAGGTTTTGGACATTAAAGGCTTCCTTGCCCCCATCCTGAGGCCTCCAAAGTCAAACGATCCCCTAGGGAGGCTTGGAATCTGGCAGAAGGAAGGGAGATGAAACTTTTGATGAAATATAAAAGGCCATGTCTGATAATGTCATCAGACTTAGGTGCACAGAATGGCGCCAACAGGATTTCAGTCAGTAGGTTATACCACATTTTAAATATTCAACTAAGTTTTAAAAGAAGAAATTTATATGAGAAGTCAAGGAAAAGAAGATGAATATATCAAAACAGACTAAGAACATATATAGATTTCTTGAGAAAGAAAAGAGAAAGAAAAGCTGCAGAGTGTTTAAAAAAGAGTGTTCCAAGACAGAAGGGACAACAAGACATCTGACACTTACTAAGAGAAAAAGTTAAAAAGGAGGAGAGAGTTTGAACTGGATCAATGTATTAAGATAGATAAACCTAAAAGATTTATATTAAAAAGGGAGGAGTGAGTGAAAAGAACATTGGAGAAGAAGCATGCTGTGTATAAAGTAGAACAATGGCATAAACAAAAATCATCCGATAAAGACCCATTAGTAATTTTTATCTTTGACCAGAAAAGAAACTAGCTAGCCAAAAGAAAACTAAATGGCAGCGGAGAACACTGTTTCGACACAAGACATATTTATTCTACTGGGTCTTCGTATGACAAGAACACTAACAGAGGAGTACAATAATCAGCCTCCGAAGAAGATTAGAAAGTGGCCAGCAGGGGGACTGTATTAAATTTGTAACTGATCAGAAGCTTGAGAAAAAGTATAATAGGACAGGGAACGTGATTCTCACAAGACAATCTGACAGATCTGTCAAACAGATATTTTATGTCAAATCTTGGATGAGACATCTTTGGAAGGAGTAAGATACAGCAAGGTGAGATGGACAAGATAAAGGCAAAGTTAAGTAGGGAAAAAGAAAAGACTTGACACTCTTGACATTACCAGAACTTATAACTGTCAAGGTGGTTTACTGCTGAGAAAATGACACAAGAACTGGGAATCTATTTCACACAATCATGCTGACATCTGTACAAGAAGTGAGAGTGGAAAGGAAATTGCAAATAGATACATTTACTTACAAACATTTTACAGGTAAAATTTTAATCTCAGCTTCCCTTTTATCGTCCTTTTTGCCATCCTTTCATCATCCTTTTTATCCATCCATTTATCCCACTAGTTATTGCATCTATTGAATGTTTCTATTATTTTATTTTTCTCGTGTCTTGATACTGTGTTGTTTGTTTTGCTGTTAGCCGCCCAGAGTGGTCTGGTTGCCAGATGGTGCAGGGTATAAACCCAATAAATAAATAAATAGTGAATCTGTACAGTTGTTAATAGTGATTAATTCCTGAACCATGTAGGAAGTTAATTACACTGAAAGTGTCTCACATCAGCAGCTACATGTAGCTTGGAATGTCTGAAACTGATTAGAGATCTGATGGTGAATTTGTCTTTATTTTTTAACAGCTTCAGAAAGGATACAGTGGGGTCTTGACTTGAGAACTTAATCCGTATTGGAAGGCGGTTCTCAAGTCAAAAAGTTCTCAGGTCAAATCTGCATTTGCCATAGGAATGCATTGAAATCCATTTGATCCGTATCTGCTCTTTTCCGTCCATAGAAACTAATGGGAAGCTGCTATTCTGCCTTCGACCACTAGAGGGGTATATTTTGTTTCTTTTTTTCTTAGGTCAAGAAAGGTTCAGGGAAGGCAGGGAAAATACAGTCCAGGCAGTACCAGGCAGTCCGAAGACCGTCTCCCAATCCACTCTCTAAACGCTGGGAGGAGTGAGGAAGCAGACAGGCACAGGATGCTTTGTTATCAATATCTGAGAATGTGGAATATGTTAAGATGACTCAAGAATTAATCACCAATTTATTAACAGCAGCTAGACTAATAATAGGTAGGCAATGGAAATCAAAATCTGAATTTTAAAAGGATGAATGGTATAATGAAATATGGAATATAGCTATAAATGAAAAGCTAACTTGTAACATAAAGGTTAAGAAAGGAGAGATGAAAAATTAATGAGGGTGAAAGAGGAGAGCGCAAAAAATGGTCTGAAGCTCAACATCAAAAAAACCTAAGATCATGGTCCCTTCACCTCCTGGCAAATAGAAGGGGAAGATATGGAGACAGTGACAGATTTTACTTTCTTGGGCTCCTTGATCACTGCAGATGGTGATAGCAGCCATGACATTAAAAGACGCCTGCTTCTTGGGAGGAAAGCAATGACAAACCTAAACAGCATCTTAAAAAGCAGAGACATCACCTTGCCGACAAAGGTCCGAATAGTCAAAGCTATGGTTTTTCCTGTCGTGATGTATGGAAGTGAGAGCTGGACCATAAAGAAGGCTGACCGCCAAAGAATTGATGCTTTTGAATTGTGATGCTGGAGGAGACTCTTGAGAGTCCCCTGGACTGCAAGGAGAACAGACCTATCCATTCTGAAGAAAATCAACCCTGAGTGCTCAGTGGAAGGACAGATCCTGAAGCTGAGGCTCCAATACTTTGGCCATTTCATGAGAAGAGAGGACTCCTTGGAAAAGACCCTGACATTGGGAAAATGTGACGGCAAGAGGAGAAGGGGATGACAGAGGATGATATGGTTGGACAGTGTCATCGAAAGTGCCAATGGGAATTTGACCAAACTCCAGGAGGCAGTGGAAGACAGGAGGTCCTGGTGTGCTCTGGTCCATGGGGTCACGAAGAGTCGGACACGACTTAACAACTAAACAACAAAAAACCCACTGTGTATCAAACTGAGGAAGACAGCAAGATTCTTTATTGTTAGAATTTCATACCTTATATTTTCAAGAAATCTATAAAATGTTAGTGACAACACATGGAAATGCCACCAGTTTCACTCACATCTGTTCAAACTGTAATAGGATCCTGTCCTTCCAGAAGAATCATTGAAGTGACTAGAAGGACAGGTTATACTAGTGGTGGGGAACCTGTGGATCGCCAGTTGTTCTGCTCCATCTTTTATTAATCTAAGCCAAATCAATGCTTGTCTATTCAGAAGCAGGTTCCACTGTGTTCACTGCAATTTACTACCAAGTGAGTACAGAATTTCAGCCACAATTGGGTAAGAGCTATTATTATTCTGCAGAAATTTGACACTGCACCAGGATTGCTGAGACAAAACCAACCAATCAGAGAATTGCTAACCCCTTCAATTCTTTTCCAAAAAAAAAAAAAAAAAAGAGTGGGGTCACTGGATCTGGACACCTAAGGACAAATTATTTCAAGAACAACCATTTTTCAGTTATAATTTCTCTTGATTCAAACAAAAAAACAGCTGAGATATAGATGAAAAAGTGACTGGCAATGCAGACTAATGTGACTGTTATTTATGAGCAAAGCATCAGCGTGTACATTCAAAAAAACATAGGTGTCAGAAACCTCTACTAGAAATAGGATGCTTGAAAATATTGCCTGGTGTTCTACAGCCTTTTAGGATGATCAGCTGGCCTTTTAGACTTACTCACTCATTATATAGTATCTATTTATGGATAGTCTGTTGGTTTCTTGCAGCAAAACAACTATAATAGCAACAGTCTTGCAGCCATTAACAAGTTTTATTTGACATTAGCTTTCATTTACTGCAGCCAGTTGCACCACATGAAGTAGACTTAATCCATGAAAGGCTAATACAATGTATTAGACTTTAACATGTCACAAGAATCTTCTTGGCGTTTATGGTAACTTTCTTAAAGGTGTTGCTACTTCAGATGTTTCAGAGCTGAAGGACAGAATGGAAAGCAGGTTTTGAGACAACGCCTCGGGGATGAACAGTGAAATCGGATACTCTGTGGTCAATGTCTGTCTACACACGACTTTACTGCAGGCTCCTGCACCAGTGCAAAGGCAGGTCTAGAGGGTCTCTGGGGTAGACTTTGAAGGCTCACAGGGGAAAGGAGAATCACAATTTCCTCATTCAGCGGATGAAAGCAAAATCTGCTCAAGAGGGTTCTTAAATAGAGATGGTGGGTTCAGTGGATTGTGATGGTTCGTTTTTCATATGAACAGGTGATCTGCACTTTCCAGCCCTGCCTCCTTAATGAGTGCCCACTCAGAGGCAGTGCTGGACAAAGAGCTGTCTTTGAATGGGTGTGACCATCTCTATTCTTAAACCTTCTATAAATAACTCTGACAGCATACAGGGGACCATCGTTCCATTGGTGCAAAAACTGTTTGGTGTAAACACTTACGTCTTGGCACATCTTTTTGCAAGAGATACTGAAACATCAAGCAATACTATCCTTGGTTTAAGTTTGTCCTACATTTGATAACATATAAAAGTTACAAGAAACAGTTCTCATTACACTTGAACATGCCAGGAAGAAAAGAAAAGAATAAAATAGAATAAAATAGAATAGAATAGAATAGAATAGAATAGAATAGAATAGAAAAGAAAAGAAAAGAAAAGAGAATAAACAGAAAAGTCAGATATTAACTGGAAGAAAGAAAGAAAGAAAGAAGTGGCCTTCAAATTCTGATACCTTTGTAACTGTTGCAGGCGAGATGATGAAAGGAGCCTTTGGATTAATAGCTTCTAACTTCATGTTTGTACAGAATGAGTGGATCCCAACAACAGGCTTGTCCTAAACATGACCGACATGAAAATATTAATGAGCACTTAGGGTCCGTGATACAGAAATATAAAACTTTTCCTGGAAGGAAATGAAAATACAGAGTATTTATTTATGAAGTTAGATAGTTAAAGGCGCAGAATAACCCATTCGTGTGCATTCACAGAGAGCATGAAGAAGTACATTTATATTCTTCCCTATTCCCTGGGATCACAGGGTAGAGTAGAACAAGGGTAGACAATAAAATATAAAACAATTTAATGACTTAGAACATTTAAAATATTAAAACATACATAAAATATTAACACCACCACCAATTACAATAAAGGTTATTGTAAGTGAGAATCAACTTGACAGCACATAATTATTGTTTTCTACAGCAAAAAAGTCCTCTGCTGTATATCCATGTATTTATTTATTATTGTATTTTTATCCCACCCTTCTAGACAGAAGTCTACTCAGGGTGGCATCTTCCTTCATGACATAGAGGAGCCCCTTCTCCATAGCAGATCTTAATGATCGGGCAAATGTATATGGGGAGAGGTGTTCCCTCAAGTGCCCAGGCCCAAGTTATTTAGGGCTTTATAGGTTATGATCAACACTTGAAGCATACCGTCAGCTGATGCAATTCTTTCAGAACCAGTATATGGGCTCTGAAAGTCGTTCCTACTATTTATTTATTTAAAACATTTTACCTCACCTTTCTCCCTAAAAGGAACCAAGGTGGCTGTCTGCAACCACAACAGCATTTGTGTCATCTTCAAGGACATCCTTGATGATGACAGCCTATCCCCCTCCCCCCAATTTTTATTGGCGATCTTTGAAAATGGGTGGGGAAATGGGTGGCAATACCATCTTTACTATTCATTCATTTGTTCAAATTATATAACACCCAATAGTGTGATATGCACCCTCTGAGTGGTTAACAGTCAACACATAGAGGCTACAAATAATGCCAAAGCTATTGTAAATATAAAAAACAATAAATGATAGAATAAATGATAACATGAAACTACATAATGTGTCAAATCTGATTTAAGTAAACAGATTAAAAACCATATTTGGACATCACAATAGAGCAGAATTAATTTAAGGCAGCTTTAAAACCTTAAGGTTGCTTCTTAAAAACTGGGAAGGAGAGCACCTGGCGAACCTCTACTGGTAATTTGTTCCAAACATAAGGTTATTTGGAAGTTACTAGCTCTATTTTCCTTCTAGGCACAATATTAAGGGACTTTGTATCCAGTGTGCTGCTGCTACTAATCTTAGAACTGCAAGCCTAGAGGGGGCCCTATGGATTTACAGCTCCTGTCAAGGAGGCACATGGGAGAATCGAACTCCCATTTTCTCGCTCTGCAGCTAGATACAGTGGTGCCTCGCTAGACAGTTACCCTGCATGACAGTTTTTTTTTGCTAGACAATGACTTTTTGAGACCCCTATAGTGATTCGCAAAACAGTGATTCCTATGGGGGAATTTCGCTGGACAATGTTTCGTCCCTGCTTCGCAAACCGATTTTCGCTAGACAACGATTTTGACAGCTCCCTCCGTGCTCGCAAAACAGGTGTTTTCAGGAACTAAGCTTCGCAGGACAGCGATTTAAACAGCTGATTGGCGGTTCGCAAAGTGGCTTTCCTATGGCCGATCTTCGCTAGACGATGATTCTTCCCCATTGGAACGCATTAAACAGGTTTCAATACATTCCAATGGGGAAATGCTTTTCGCTGGACAATGATTTCGCTAAACAGCGATTTCAGCGGAACAGATTATCATCGTCTAGCAAGGCACCACTGTACCTAAACTGACTTCCTGCTCCACAATACCCCATACACTCTTTAACAGCAACCAAGAGTGGCCTCCTTAGCAAGCTCTGGTTGTCCCTTGAAGGGGGTCTCAGAGCCCTAAAGACATGGAGTATCCCTCCACTCTGAGAGCAGAAAAAAGGTCCATTTTAGAAGAAAATCTGGCCATCCTCATGCCAAGCACCATAGATTTTATTTCCAGGATACTGGAAGATGGGTGGTGGTGGGAAGAGGCACATAGAAGGTGTACAGGGGGTAGTGGCCTGGGAACAGCAGTGGACCTGAGTGATTCACACCTTTCCTGTACCAAAGATATGCCCTTGGGTTGGTCTGGATTCATTTCCTCTCACTGATAGTTAACGATTAATAATTTTAATAAAACAGCCAAGAAGGCAAAAAATGACCTTATTTCATCCCTGAGCATATGGGTTTGCAAAGGTTTTAGATACCCTGGAGATTACAACATTGGAGCTTTGCTAGATCCACATGGACCTAATCTAGCCCATCACGGTTCTATCTGCGATGTGGCAATTCATAGCTGTCCCATCCTCTTCCTGAAGTTTTGAGAATCTAACCGGAAGGACATGGGAATTTCTTTGGTTGGTGAACCAGATTTCCTCACCTCCTGCCTTCTCTGAATCAAGAAAGAATGAGCAAAGAGCAATCAGTCATTAACTTGGCAGCCAGACAAATCTTGACCATGGGATTCTATATTGGTCAAGTGCAATCTCCCCTTCTTCTACTCAGTGTGGGAAAGAGGAACGGAGCAAAATGTGGCCTTTGACCAAAGTTAAAGCGTTGGCCAGGGAACTGGCAAAACCAAGGGGTGTAGAAATATTCTCTGACCTATCTGGGGCGCAGTGGGCAAACTTGGACTGGCACTTTAAATCTGTTACTTACTTGATATGTTTCAGATAAAGTTTACAATTCCCTTAACTGGGGAGGGAGGGAGTACTTTTTGGTGGCTGCCCTATAATGCGAGAATCCTCTGCTCCTGAAAACTCAGTAAAGCATCTTTGGAGACTGTTTCTTCTTATTTAATATTGAATCTGGTGTCTGTGGGTGGGAAAATCCACAATGTATCTGTTTCACTGATTTTAATACAGTATATTATGTATATTTCAGGCATTCACTCGCCTGGAGCCTATGAGACCTAATAGGGAAAAGAAACTAATTAAGATGGTCTCATGTGGCTGGTTCCCAGCAATTACTTTTTGTACGGATTATATTTAACCATAAAATTTGTTAACAATGTTCAAGGGTAAATCCCAGCCGTTGTACCTTAAATAGATCAGTGGGCACCAATGATTCTTCCTCCTCTTCTTTGATTTTTGCTAAAATCTCCTGCCATTCTGTCTCCATCTTCAAGGGCCTAACAGCTTCAATAAAAAATGGTATCTTGCTATCACATTATGAGTAAAACCACAGCACTTTAAAAAATGAATCCATTATACCACTCCTATGTGATGATCAAGGCAATAACATGAACATAGTCAACAAAACCAACAGTTTTCTTATGCATGAAGAGACTAGGATGCTCTTTTCCTCCCAACAGAACTTACTCTGATCCACACACAGAACAACCTTTAAAAATATCCTGAAGGCATATATGCAATATTTTTCACTAAGATGCTTCTTTACAAATTCTTAATTGCCTTTTGCATTTAGAGGAATAAAAAAGCAGCTTGTTTTTTTACTGGTGATTCACTTGGAGGTAGGGAGTGGCAGGGGGTAATTTGCTGAGAAGAAATTATTAATGGTTTTCTCTAGTGTACTCTCTAAAAGCAGTGCCACATTTCTGCCACCAGATTTCTGAAAATCTTACCTGAACTGCTCTGTCTAGATCCACTGTGGAATAAAGGATCAAGTATTGGACTAGGACTTGGGAGAGCTGGGCTTCATTCACTACTTAGCCATGAAACTTCATGGGAAGGCTAACTCACTTCTTAAACATCTCACACACCTCAGAACTCTATTCAGATCATTTTAAGTTGGAAGTGACTTGATGGCACTTAACAGCAAGTTTATTTAGAGATAATAAAAGAGCGAACTACCAAACTCTGCATATCTAAAGCAATTTGTCTCTGTTATGAGGAAAATTGTGAACACAAGCAGTTTAAACAAAGAAAATCGAAAGCCCTTGCATTCTGAGCAGATACATACGATTCCTGCTTCAACATGATTCCTGACTGAAGTGACAGATGATTCAAATGGAATCAAAGCTCACTACCAGAGGTTTATGAAAAGAAAAAAAAATCTGAGAGGAGACTTAGGCAAATGAACTGCTTCTCCCTCTCAACTGAAAGTAGCATAACACCAGATGCACTTTCCTTGTTTCAGAACAGAGCTGTGTTCAGTTTTTCTTCACTAGTGGGACTGTGCATTATAAGCACACCAGCAAATGTTTGCTCCTATAAACTTTATGAACTTTATGAAGCAGAAATCTGTTTCCTCTTCTTCTTTAAAGCTGCCATCCTAATTTGTAATTGAGAAGATAAAATATATATATTTTTTACCTAAAGGAGGTTCAAGGATATATCCTTGTTGATTTGCCCATCCCACTGGATGGAGAAAGGGATCTAAGTAGAACATCCATAAATCATACTGATCGTTATCTCCAAGCCCTTCATAGCGGAGTTTAAGCCTTCCGCCAATATTTTCCAGAACATTAACTATCCATGCTCCAAGGGAATCTTTAAAGTGCTGACATTCCAATCTTGAACCAGGTGCAACAAGATCCAAAGGATTCTTCCCTCGATGGAGCTGTAAGGCAAAATAGAGAGAAAAATGTAACAGCTCATTTTCCTTCTCTTAAAAGATCTAACATCCATTTCCGTTGTTTTTCCTGAATATCTCTACCATATTTATTGCTCGCTCGGTGGAAACGTAATACGAATTCAGGCAAAATGGAACAACATTTTCCACTATCCAATTCACAACACTGCAACTTCCACCAAATTTCTTTGACAGATGCACAACCAAGTCAATAATACACTGTGATTTACCTAGGGAGTGTGAATCACTATCACAGGGAGTGTGAATCAAGGGATTTTATTCCCAATTTAGGCCTGAAGAAGTGAGCTATAGTTTATTTTAACAACCCTTATCATTTGTGAAGTAATATTAGCAATTGCCTTTACATCATTTTAATAGACACCACTTTCACAAAACTCATCCTCCATGAGAAGTATTTTGCATTATGTCTTCACACTTTACACAATATTTCCAGTACTACTGTACTTACTTGCTGTCTGCCTTTGCTTTGTCATTCCCTATGGCACACCTGTACTTAGCCCAGTTCATGATCATTACTGAAATACATGAGATCTGCCACATACCAACTATTCCATCTACTGTATAACCTTTACAGTGCACTCTCTAAGTAGAGTGTTTGGAGATCTGTGCCATGGCATATACTTCTGGTTAAACATAGATACAAACCAGCAAACTGGTCTTTCGTGGCTATCCATGAACCATCGCAACCCCCACCCCACAAAAAAGAGAGGTTACTTACCTGTAACTCTGGTACTTCGAGTGGTCATCTGTGAATTCACACTAATGAGTTAATCTGCACCTGCGCAGAGATCTCTGGAATATTCTAGAGCTCAAACTTGCGTTCGCTAAAGACTGCCCCCCAGTACATGTGGTCCACCCATCGTGGTGATTACTTCAGTTCCCCAAAAAGCCCGCCGCTGCCTGCAGAATGAGACAGATGTTACGGACAGACAGGAGGACGGGTGGGAAGTGTGAATTCACAGATGACCACTCGAAGTACCAGTTACAGGTAAGTAACTCTCTTTCTTCTTCGTGGTCTCTGTGAATGCACACTAATGGGTGATTAACAAGCTTAACTTATAGGTGGAGGGACGTCACGGCAAGACTGAAGACAATACTGCATGACTGAAAGCCGCATCTGCCTTGGCCCGTACATCCAAACGATAATGGGATGCAAAAGTCAATGGAGTTGACCATGTAACAACCTTGCAGATATCTGGAACAGGTATGCCTCAAAGAAAAGCTGTGGAGGTGACCATTGCCCTGGTGGAGTAAGCCTTGACATTGGTAGGGAGAGGCTTCTGGGCGAGCTGGTAAATGAGGCGTATGGTCTCCACAATCCATCGTGAGATAGTTTGCAAGGATATCTGTGCCTCTCTGTGAGGTGGATGAGGTGACCAGATTTACGAAAAGAGGTGGTCATTTTGACACAAAAGGTGAGGGCACACCTCACATCCAAGAGGTGGAGGAATCACTCAACACCTGTTGATGGTGACAGGAAGAAGGTAGGTAAGATTACTGGTTGACGGACGTTGAAATCAGGATATAGGGTGACTTTATCTGGACGAAATTGCAGAAATGGAGGGTCATCACAGAGCACTGCTAGTTCAGATGCTGTACGGGCAGATGTGATGGCCACGGGAAACAAAACTTTAATGGAGAGGAAACACTCAGAGGAAGTGGCAAGAGGTTCGAAGAGCAGAAGTGACAAATGCCGGAGAACCGTGTGTAACAACCACTGGGGTGTAGGAGAGGGCCTAGGTGGACTGAGATGAGCCACTCTCCAGAGAAAACACTTCAGCATGGGATCCCGGAATAACAAGGCAGCATCTGAGTCCTCTGGTTGGTAAACTATGATAGAGGACATGTAGACTTCGACTGTGGATAATGAGAGATGGCAGTCAAAAAGATAAGAGAGAAAGACCAAAACTGCTCGAAGGGTAGTAGGAGCTGCAGGAAGATCATTCTGACGAGCGAACTTTTGGAAAGCAGACCACTTGTATGAATAAAGTTGATTTGTGGTTGATTTCCTGGAATGGGAGAGGATGGTGTTTAGGGAGGGAGGATCTGTCAAGCTGTTAGGGGCAGGGATTGTAGGTCGGGATGGTAAGTCTGTCCATGATGCTGAGTGAGGAGATGAGGGAGGTGAGGGAGACGGATGGATTGAGATGTCATGGACGTGAGCATCATGAACCAGGGTTGCCTCGGCCAATATGAGGCAATTAGAATGCCAGTTGCACGATGGCAGTTGCATGGTCGTGTCTCAACTTGACGATGGTTCGCAGGAGAAGTGGTATTGGAGGGAAGAGGTAAAGGAGGTGTGTAGTCCAGCTCGCCATGAGAGCATTGCCGAGACCCTCGGCCGATGCCTGCCCTGGAAAAGTACTGGGTCCATTTGGTATTGATCGCTGTTGCAAACACGTCTATATCAGAATGACCCCACTTGTTGCAAAGTTGAAGAAAGACGGTGTGGTCGAGGGACCACTCATGCATTTGAGAATTCAGCCTGCTGAGAGAGTCTGCCAATGCGTTGTGTTGCGTGGCAATGTGGACTGCTATTGGGAAGATGTGGTGATCCAGGCACCACTCCCAAAACTGGACAGCAAGATAGAGGAGGGGTACAGAGTGTGTACCTCCCTGTTTGTTGATGTAGTAGAGTGCTGTCGTATTGTCCATGGTCACCTGGAGTGGCTGGAAAGCGCAGAACACTTTGAAGATCGCTAGCAATTCGAGGTTGTTGGAGAGTTTTTTCATGAGAAGACCATGTGGCATGGATTTGAAGGTCTTTGCAATGTGCACCCGATTTATGTTTTTTTTCAGGAAAAGAACCAATCTGCACAAACGGAGAGCTCAGAGAGATGAGACCTCAGCGGTGCGAAAAAGGAACTGAGGTAATCACCATTACGGGTGGACCAGGTGTACTGGGGAGCGGTCCTAGTGAACGCATGTTTGAGCTCTAGAGTATTCCGGAGATCTCTGTGCAGATGCAGATTAACTCATTAGTGTGCATTCACAGAGACCACGAAGAAGAACAAACCAGTTTGTGGTTCATTTCTCAGGTTTGCGCTGGGGCTTGCTATCTGTGTGCATGTGCCCATTGCTCAGCTCACAGGTGGGCATCCATGCAGGAAAGGTGCTGGTAGGCAGCAGGCTGGCTTCCGTGCAAGGAGCTGGGCCTGCTTTCTGTGCGCATGTGCCTGCTGCTCAGTGGACAGGCAGGCACCTGCACAGAGAGGTTAGAAATTCTGCTATAACATGTGTACACACATACCCCTTCTAGAAGGCTGGCAGGGACACTGCATGCTCCTTTCAGAATCTGATGAAGAAATTCCACAGGGTTAGAAATTTTATCCTTGATACCTAAAATAAAGACAAAGTACAAAGAGGTTGTTTTTCTTGTTAGATGTTGCTGTTATAATATAGCAGGATACTCTTGCTATCGCACAATAAGATAGCAGAGAGAATTATATTTATTCTGAGAAAGCAGGACCACAAGCCAATTTCCAAACAGCTTTGCAGCTTCTACATTATTAAGAAACAACAACTGCTGTTAAGCATAATTTTATAAATGTTATTTATTTCTTGTATTTATTTATTCAGTTTGAATTCTGCTCCCATTAGTGAGTGTCACAGCACTACTCTGGACATATTAAAACCAACAGCAATAACCCTATATATATCCCAGAGCAGCTGGAGGAAAAGAGGGGAGGGAAGAAGAGGAGGGGAAAGAAAAAGTGGGAGAAGGTGGTCAGCTGGGGTCGGTGTGGAAAGTCTCCCTGAAAAGCAGTATCTTTAATTGCTTCCTAAAAGTCCATAGGGAGGGTACTAGGCAGAACTCCTCCGGAAGCTGGTTCCATAAGGCTGGAGCCACCGTGAAGAAGGCCCTACTGCTTGTAGATGATTTATGGGCCTCCCTCGGGGTGGCCACTTGGAGGAGCTTCAACTGGGATTATAATCCACTTCTTTAAAGTTCAGGAAAAGTGAACTCTCCCAGTAACTAGCTTTAAGATCTTAGGACAGGAATGGGAAAGCAGCTGAATTATCATAAAAACAAAGACGCATTTTTATTACTGGCAACAATGGATTGACAAATAACTAAACAAAAAATGGATCTGTGTATCACTGTTACAGAAAAGTAATGACAGTAGATGCTGGAGTGAATCATCCAAAGCCATTCTAAGCAGAGATTTACAGGGCTCTAAAGACACAAGACTGTGCAGAAAGCCTGAATAATTTGGCTCACAAAATGCTACCAAGTCACAGGAAGCTAATTAGAAAATCACTTCACAGGCTTATAAACCAGCCCATCATTTTCATTTCATAGGGGACATAGCATTTACCTTCAGGGACTTTAAGAGTCCTTTTATTCTGTTCACACCAGCCAACTGGGTGCAAGTCAGCAGTCATAATATCACACCAGAAGTCAGCCTTGCGGTCTTCCCCATAACCATCATATCGCAATAGGAGTAACTGCCCACAGGTTGTAATGATTGTGGCAATCCAGTATGTATCAGGACCAGGTTTGACTGCAACTTCCAGTTTCATGCCTGGCATAAAGCCATTTTGTAGGCTAGTGTCCACCTTTAAAAAATGAAGTTCAGGTGTTAATGTGTGGCTCTGGTTACAAACAACTTACTTAATTCTAAAATATTTAACACAAGTCTGAAACAATGTCTGTTTTTAACATAATGATGCAAAATTAAAGTTTTTAAAGATCTATGTTTGATCAATAAAAATAAACCACCAAGCAGCAGTTGAGTACTGTGGCAAAGTGACCACAAGGTTTGGACAAAACAGTCATAAGAGGGAAAAAAAGTAAGAGTACATGTCAGTCAATTTATGTTGTTAAAGCTGGTTAGAAAACAGGAATGCAGAATCCATTAATTCAGCTGATTTTTTAAAAAAGTAATTCTTAGTGTTCCAGTGTTAACCCCATTCACTTTGGGAATCTAGGACAGGATAATTCACACCCTATTACTATAAACATGGCAGTGTCAAAATATTAGCCAATACACAATACCAAGCTAGAATAGATCATGTAACTCGATTTGTAAGCATCTAAAAGATAATATGCTCCTAAAAGCCACAAAGAATTTAAAATAATCATTATCACACTATTGTCTACCTTCAGTTGACATTAATGAGGCTAATAATTTGTACATAATCAGCCCAGCACTACAATCACATTTGAGTAGAGAGAAACTTTTCAGTGTGTTAAAGCAAACATCTTTTTGCCTCTGCTTACAAAACAGGTAGAAGTCCATGATCAGAACCTTGATTATATTTTCTTTCAACACTGTTCTGTTTATTATAGAATATAACTGAAAACTCTGAAGTTTAATATAAAAATGCATTTCTTTCTCAGAACACAATGTATATTTTTATTGTATTCAAATTGTATTCAGATTGCTGTAAGCTGCCCAGTGTGGGCCACAGACAAACAAACAAACAAACAAACAACCAAACAAACAAACAAATAAATAAATAAATATTTCCCCCACTCTCTGCTGGACAGAAACTTGAAACCATAGCGGAAGTTTCCAAATGTCACAGCAAAAGCAAGTGGGGTTTGCCACTTTCCCACCTGGATATCCAGCACCATTCAAGCACTGTTTTATTTAGCAAATATGTATCTAGAGAAAATATTCATTAATCTTTACATTCCCTCCTCTGTCATGCTGCCCTTCTATATATATATATCACTCGTGCGAGCCAGGAGGTGAGGCTGAGGAGCCTAACGCCAAGGGAAGCCCGGAGGGAAAATACAAGAAACTGGGCCTTCTCGGCAGTGGCTCCTCGCCTCTGTAATAATCTACCTCCTGATATTCGCGTGGCTCCCTCGCTGGGTATTTTTAAAAAGCAACTAAAAACATTGATGTTCCGGCAGGCCTTATGTATCTATCTAGTATGTATCTATGTATCTATGTATGTAACTATCTATGTATCTATGTATCTATGTATCTATGTATGTATGTATGTATGTATGTATGTATGTATGTATGTATGTATGTATGTATGTATGTATGTATGTATGTATGTATGTATGTATGATCTCTCTCTCTCTCTCTCTCTCTCTGTCTGTCTGTCTGTCTGTCTGTCTATCTATCTATCTATCTATCTATCTATATATATATATATATAAAAACACAAAAATAAAAACACACACGCATATATATATATAAACATGCAAAACATGGCACATTATCTTACGTGGATTCAGATCTACAGTTGTATGGCTAGAGTATTTCTGTACTGTATTACAGTATAATCAACAATCCTATAATGGTTATCTCATGCTCAAACAGCACCCTCTTATGGTGGTCGTGCAAGTCTGCAATGAAATCCTGATAGGACATGTGATTCTAAACATGACTCCTCAAGAGCTCCCATTCATTTCAAAGGCTTACTCCCACCATGGAGGTAGATATATGTAGGTAAATAAGTGTAGGATTACAGCCCTAGGGTTTTATGTATGTATCTGAAAAGGTATGCACTATGAAATAAAAGACTGTCCGGGAAAAAAAATGCAGGACATTTAATCTCTATTGCCATAAATTGACGAGCAATCCTAAATCATAATTATTTTTTGGCATTTTTTGTTTATGGAACAGTGGGTTTTTTTTACATCTTTTCCTACCAAGTACTAATAGCAACACACTTCGAAGCTGACGATAACTATAGGCAAAAGTGATGTGTTTGACATTTTGTGGCAAAGTATAACATTCTGTGAATATTGTCCTATATTTCTTTATAAAACATTTTATACAGAATACACTTTTTTATCAAATGAAAATTCAGTTAATCAAACTCAACCTTTTAGTAAGTGAAGAAGCAAACTCATTATTTTTTAAAATATATATATTTTCAGAATATATCCCTAATATATTGAAGTCTACAAAGATACCACATTAAATCTTCTGTAAGTTAATTGCATGGAAAGTGCAGCTTATGCAGGTTAGTAAAGAACACTGATTTAGGCACAAGAGGGCGATGTTAGTTCTAGAAGAAAGAGAGAAAGGTGCAAAAATCAATACTGAGTAATTTGTACACTTGTAGAAAATGATGTTTCAATTTGGCTTAAATCCTTGAACCGCATTCAGGATTTAGATCCTTAAAACCATCAGTTCAGCTGGGGAAAACTCCTAGAACTTTGTTACATGTTCCCCACACCAGATTTGTCCCTTTTGGTGGGTGGTTTGTAGTTGTTCTAAGAAATTAGCTAAGAAGTACAGAATCAGGAATTGGGTTTAATGTGTTTCCTCTGTGAAATAAATGTATTTACAAAAGACAAAAATTTGTAAAGTAACAACAACAATCAGGCCATGATAGGGGCTGCTGGTAATAAAAAGCCTATTTCCTTCTACAGTTCAGCTGGTTTCTTATAAGATTAAATCTTTATATACTGTATTTATGGGGCTCCTTTTCTTTAGGTGCTGCTTCCAAGCAATATGACTCCATGTATTTACTAAACCACATAAAACTACAATTTGCTAGGAGGACAATTCATTAATACAGTTTCTTCCCCAGTAAGGACTAATGTAGAGCTGACGTAGTCTAGATGGGCAGGATACAAATCTAATAAATAAATAAGTAAGTAAATAAAATAATGCTTCACTCTGTCACACCACACCTTAATAATAAAGAACTTAACTGTAACTCTGGTTCTTCGAGTGGACATCTGTGAATTCACACTATAGGGTTTAATCTGTGCTTGCACAGAAGTTTCCGGAATACTCTAGAGCTTTATCACGCATTTACCAGGACCACCCCCCAAGTACATGTGGTCCGCCCATCGTGGTGATTATCTCAGTTCCTAAGAACAGCCCACAGCTGCATCAAATGAAACAGACATGACGGACAGAGGGGAGGACGAGATGGCAAATGTGAATTCACAGATGACCACTTGAAGAACCAGAGTTACAGGTAAGTAACGTCTCTTTCTTCTTTGCAGTCTCTGTGAATGCACACTATAGGGTGACTAACAAGCTGACTTACTAGAGGAGGGACGTCATGGAAGAACAGATGAGAACACAGCTCTGCTGAAGGCCGCATCTGTCTTGGCTCTCACATCTTGGCGGTAATGTGTGGCAAAGGTAGATGGAGTCGAACATGTGGCAGCCTTACAAATGTCACGAATAGGTATACCTCTTAAAAAGGTTATGGAAGTCACAATGGCTGTCGTGGAGTGTGCTGTGAGAGAGGATGGTATCAGCTTGTGGGAGAGTTGATAAGCAAGGCGGATGATTGTCACAATCCATTTAGAAATGATTTGGGAAGAAACTTGTGCACCTCTGTGAGGAATGGGGAGTAATAAAGAGCCTCTTAGACTTGCGAAAAGCAGAGATTCTGGAGACGTAAAACACCAGAGCTTGCTTAACATTGAGCGAGTGTAGGGACCATTCAAGGTTGTTCAATGGTGATGGAAAGAAAGTAGTTAAAACAATGGGTTGCTTGAGATTTGGGGCTTGAATCATGGTCACCTCAGCCGAAGTATTAGCCCATTCAGGGGAATGAGTGAGCAGAGGAGAGGACGGGTGACTGGATGGCGGAGGGATAGAGTCATCATCCACAGAAAGGGAGTTATTAGAGACGGTGGTATTCGTATACAAATGTGAATATCCCTGCACAGGTGGCGTTAACTAGGGGGCTGGACAGTCCACTCACCAATCCGCTGCTGATGCGGACGGCATGATTTCACAAATGGCTCCACAGCACATGATACACTCACCACTCCTGGCAGGAGGACCAGCCTTGCTGCAAGGTCGAAGAGTGGTGAGCGGATCGCGCGCTGCGGAGCCATTCACAGACATCAGCAGCGGATCGATGAGTGGACCGTCTGGCCCCATGGGGCTGGACCCTCGTTAACGTCACCTATGCAGAGATATTCATCTACAAATACGAATACCTCCATCTCTAGAGTCAATGCATATTGTGAATTGATCCTGGATAGGAAGTGTAGAGGTTGTATGGTTGTTGTGGGTTTTTCAGGCTCTTTGGCCGTGTTCTGAAGGTTGTTCTTCCTAACGTTTCGCCAGTCTCTGTGGCCAGCATCTTCAGAGGGCAGCACTCTGTGCTCTGGTGTAGTTGGCTTGGGAGTGCAGTATTTATGGCTGTGAGATAGGCTTTTGTCTTTTTCTGTAGATGGGTGATTAGTGTGTCTTGTTGTGGGTTTATTGCTGTGATAAGGAGGAGAGATTATCTGTCACTGTGACTGATGGGTGTCATTAGCTGGTCTTTTGTGTGTAGTGATCTGTGGCGGGGTAGAGGTCGTTGACCTTTTACATGCTGTATTTTTGAGAGCTGGGAGCCAAGTTTTGTTGAGTTTCAAACTTTCCTCTTTTTTGTTGAAGTTCTGCTGGTGCTTGTGGATTTCAATGGCTTCCCTGTGCAGTCTGACGTAATGATTGCTGGTGTTGTCCAGTATTTCAGTATTTTGAAATAGAATTTCA